TCAAAAATCTCATAACTGTCATTTCTTTCAATACCAAGACTGTAATTCATGTGGACGCAGTGACCTCCAAGACTGCTAGGTATTCTCTAACCATTTACTTATCTCAGATATCAACCATTTTTATTCAGTCCTTTACAGTAAGAAATATTTCCAAGGTAGATCACAGCTGAAATTCCACTAAAGGTCTTTCCATTTAACTCTGGGATCAAGGAATAAGATAAATACCTGAACCCTAGGAGAAACCAAGCTATAACATACAATGGCAAAATTGAGACCATACATGCCATACTCCTTCATAATATGAAACAAGCATAAACTCCCCTTGCATAAAGTCATCTTATAACTTAAATGCTCTTGGTTTCAATGCCTGCCCCATATGCTGTTTTACTAACTCCCACTCACCTTTGTGATTTTCACATTAAGACACTATTATAATTTTCAAAGATTAGGACTACTCAAATTACACATTTTTTGAGCACTATGCCTGCAATTTTCATCTGGCTAATATTTCTTTTCTACAAAAGTAATATACCTTAATAAAAACAAATTTTATTTCAATATTTAATTTTGGTTATTCTATTACATCATTGTGAGTGGTCCCTCCCATCAATATTGATCACAACTCTTCCATGCTTTCTCTTTGTCTAGTCCTTGTGCATGCCTTCCCATGAATCCTTCAGAGAGGTTCAAACCATCACAGTGGAGGCTTTCCACTCAATCTTTTAGTATATTGAGGGTAGTAACGTACCCCTCTAGATATCCAAATTTTGTCTCTCATTCTTGCTATATGATAGGACCACTTTGTTTTCCAGTGACCTCTGTGTAAAATAATGCCTTTTCTGTCACTTCTCAAACAGTAATCATCCCTGGTAACATGGTGCAGCCTACTTAGGCCCACCATGCATCTTTCCATTCTATGCTATGTGTTCTAGGATTGCCCTCATAAAGGAACACTGGGAGAATACTGCTATTAAAGAGACAGTCTTTTGTACCTGCAAACAATTTGGTAGTGTAACATCTCCCAGCTGCAATCTAATACAATCACAATTTATTAAGAATAAACAATGAGAGAGAAGAATAAGAATAGAATTAAAGAAATAAAAACTCCAAAGTACAATATGGTATTGCTCTACCATGAAATTTTAACTATTATAAGTCTCTGCTTAATCTAATCCTGCTTTTTAAGTCCTAGGCCTAATCAGAAAACTTATCCTGAAGCTTTATTTAGAATCAGAAGCTGACCAGGAAATGTGCCTCAAAGCTTCCAGTTTCTTTGATTTAAACTTTAAACTTGCTTGTAACTTATCAAAGGGGAGGTTGTAATTTGCTTCCTCAGGACTCCTAATAAGCTCTGAAGTGTCCCATCTGATCTTTCTGTATATAAATGAGAAATGGATTTCTACTATTATCAGGGAGGGCTTTAAACCACCTTACCCTGCACCCACAGTTCCCCTATTAGTTTCTGTATCTTTAGTTATTCAGAGTTTAAAAAAATGAAATAAATAAGAATGAAGTCCCCTGAGTCTGTGTAAAAATCCAATACTGATCTCTCTACAATCAGAAAAGGATTTCCTTGGTAGACATGCTTTTCACTTATTCAATTCCCCTTCAATGAATGTCTAATCAACATCGAATAGGTTTCTTTAATCAGGTATAGCAGGTCTCTGGCTCTTTCTCAAAAGGGTAATATTTTTTGCTTTCAGAAAATTTTAAAATATATTTAAAGAGAATAATTTCAGAGATAAACAGTGGTTTCCTCATGTACTAGTCATAACTTTAATAGTCTATTTCTTCTACTCTCTCCATTTCCTATTCTTGGAAGATCTCTACATCTATAGGATAAACTTTTTTTCCCTTGTACCTTTAAATATTTCCCCAAGTCAATCTTAATTCAGTAAGAATTTTAGAAATAAAGCTTCTTCCAAAACAGGAAATGCCAAAGTCACTAGACTTATTTTGGAAAAGAATGAGATAGCTGAGGTTGGAGAAACTGATGGTAGAATTGCAAAGTCAGAGGCAAGGCCTTTTGGAGAAAACACGAGGCAGGTGGTCATGGCTGCACTGAGATGGAAACATCATATACAAATGTTTATTTTCATAGCAACAACGGTATGCTAAAGTTTTCTCCAGAAAAGACCCTGGTAGTTGACAGATAGCTGACAGAATCAGGATGACACTGAAGGAATAGTGGAGAGGGGGACTTCCACTAAAAACAAGAAACAGAAATTTTTAGAAGCAAACTATATTAATGAGTGGTTTTCTTAACTGAGTGAAAACTGGTTGAAAAAACTGTCCTGCCTCCAAAGGAATCTAAACCAAGATGATTCACTACCTTGCTCTCTTATGCATTTCCAGAAAACCAGCATGCAACATTAACTCCCTTTACATAAAGACAGATGCAAACATGGATGTAATGCATCACAACCAGATTGTATTTAATGAGATTATGTTCTACAATGATGCCCTTAGGGAAAATTACTATATTTGGATCTACTTTGAGGCTGTTTCAGAGGTGGGGGTTGGGGGGGGGAGTGTGTTTTCACGTGCTGTTCTTCAGTTTTTCTTAAGGCTAGAATATAGAAAGAGTCATTCTTATAGTTAGAGATTAGTACTAGGGTTTCTTTAGCTATATTACAAGGTGCCAGGTTTAGGGGTTTTAATTATTTATAAAGCAAGGGCTATTCCTCTCCACAAGAGTCAAAGTTGATAAAATCAAGAAATCATGAACGTAAGCTTCTCACAAATATAATTCTGACAATGTTAGACTATCAAACCAGCCTTAAATATCCATTATTAGCCAAATCTCAAATCACCTTAGAAATAGACACTATCCATTAAGCTAAAATTGGGTGGTACCACAGTACTATAGGAGACTAGATCAAAATGATCAGCTTCAATAAAAATAACTGAAGAATTTAAATTCCAATCTCTCAAAGAAAAATGTACAAGTTCTCCACTATTTTATGTGGTCACAGAAGGTTTTTTGAGAACAAAGGTGGGAGTTGTATATTTTACAAGATGGGGTCATATTACAGACCAGAAACCACGGTAAACAGCTTGTTCACTAGTTAGTGTCCAATGTGTCCTGCCGACAAGAGCCATCTTAAATACTGACAAAACTAATAAAAACTCTTGCTGACTCATTCCTTGTACAGGAACATTTATTATTTCCTGGGGCAGTCTACTGAAAATCCACTTCTGGTGCAGTAATTTCCACTTGTGAATTGGGGGGGGGGGGGCTTACAGAAGGCAGGAGGAGGAAGTTAAAATATTGTGAAAGATAGTGTGCTTTTAAGGGCACTGTAATGAGTTCTGTGAAAAAGCTATTGATTTATGCCCTTTTGTTTATTTCCAATATATACTTTAGTCATGTATTTCCCTATGAAAGCTCAATGCAGTTATCTGGGGACTCGGAGCAAGAGGGTAGATAGCAAGCCAATGTATGGGAGTGTTTGTTAACAGGGAATCAAATAGGTCTTTGCTAGAACTCAATCAATTGGCGGGGAGGGGCAAGCGCAAGCAAAATCAAATTCAGAATCTTTCCCAGTTTCTCCCTGTTACAGCATGAATGACCTAAGAAAGCTAAGAGTGGCATATGCCACTACCTATCTACTGCCAGTAATTTATTAATTAATTCAGACTTTTGAAACTTTATTTTCTTTTTTAATCCCTTTTCCTACCATTTCTACCCTTTCCCTTCCTCCTTCCCCCTCCCCAAAAAAGGTTTTCATGAGAATTAATGTCTGAAATATTTTTAAATATGATTCTAAATAGGGAATCTAAAATGTGAAAGGAGGAAAAACTTTGTTTCAAAATTCTGAGTGCTTAATAAATTTTTTTAGGGAACCCAGGGGCTTTTAGACTGCATACATGAATTTAAGGAAAAAGAAATGTTGCTTCATTTGAAGTCTCATGATTGAGAAGCTGAAACTTAGTCCAATACAACAGCATTTCTGAAGTCCTTTCTATGTGCCAAGGACCAAATGAGGCTAGAGATACAAAGACAAAACCACACAACACTCAAGAATAGCCCTCAACTAGCCTGCATTTTCTTAAAAAGATGACAATAAGATGTCAGTTATGTATCACAGGTTGATCTACATACTGTGAGGAAAATCACCCCTCTTTTTCCATATTTTTTAAGAGTTCCTAGCAAACAATACTGATTAAATGAAAGGGACCTACTCTGTATTAAGGGCTCTTGTATGAAACTTCCATTTTTAATTTTAATCCCCTTCCCCTCAACACCTTCTACAATTCTCTCTCTCTCTCTCTCTCTCTCTCTCTCTCTCTCTCTCTCTCTCTCTCTCTCTCTCTCTCTCTCTCTCTCTCTCTCTCTCTCTCTCTCTCTCCCCCTCTCTCTCTCTCTCTCTGTTTGTTTTTTGCATGGCCGACTCCTGGATTATACATACACTCTAGTTTCTCCCAGAGGACTCTGCATTAATCAGGGATAAAGGTACAACCTAATTAGGATCTACATTTTCCCTTGATGTTTTTTTCTTTTTCCCTATACAAGAAGATTGTCTTTCTAAATCCTGTTAGTTATTTTGTACAGCTGAAGCTCCTTGGTCTCCTATTGATAGATTCCTAAAATAGCTTGGATCTTGGACATATAATACTTCTTAATCATCAAAGAGGACTTAATTTGTTTATTGAAGGGTGGAATTTATTTTGTTTTCCAAATTTATCATTCTCTTCAATTTCATCTAGAAATAAAATGATTGGTTAGCCCATATGCAGACCTATAGTTACTTGTTTTCATAATTATTAGTTTGGGTATACTGTGAGAAATAATGAAATTACAGAATTTGAGATTGAGAAGTAACCTTAAAGATTACAAAATGAAACTCCATAATCTGAAGGAGGAATCTAAAGTCAAGAGAGATCACAAGTTAATGGCAGAGATGTAGGTAAAACCAAAGTGTAAAGACTTTTATGCCACAAATTCCATTTCTTGACCAGGAAGTCTTTGACAAATTCATTTTTTAGCCCACACATACCTTGGTTGGTTCTCCAAAGAGAGGTTCTCTCCTCTCTGGTAGCCGTTGTCTGCTACTTGAGTTGTGGACCTCTTCACAATTTGCTTTAGCTCTTGTTCCAGGCGTTCCTTGATAGCCTTAACTGTTTCTGGAATCTTCTTTAGTTTGGCTAGCCCCTTGATGAGAATGCCCATAAAGAGGTTACTATTCTCTTCTGGATCCAGCTCCAAATCTTCCTTGATGTCCTGTAGGTTCATTTCTCTGACTGAAAACCACACAAAACATCAAATGTAAAAAGTATAGTATTCACATAGAGGTAATGCTAACCAAACAAAATGGTTATTTTCCATATTTTCTTGGGAGGAATAAGCTATGAACCAAAGAAGATGCTGCTCATTAGAAACATGATTTCCTATTTGTACAGTACCTATCCCACAATCTCAAAATAACATTCATATCCCTATTTGCATCATCTCAATTAATGGAGAATGAAAGGCAGGAAATATTTATAAGAATTATACAAATAGTTGGCAAGTCTGCCATGGAGAATCTTCAACCACCTATCATGTCACTTCATTTGTCTGTCAACAGATTAAGAAAATTAAGCATCCTCACTGTAAGCTTCAGAAGAAAAGTCACTATCTGAAACTCAACTAATAAATGACTTACTCAGAACTTAGGACAATGAAAAAGACATTGGGACATTTAAAGAAGTTCATAAATAATTAAAATTTAAAATAGCAGAGAAATAACAACAGAAGAGCTAGTTCTCAACACACCCTAGGTCACTGGACTTCAGAAAGAGAAAAGCTTTCAGGGGAGAGAAATAAGGAACTGAAATGTCTTTAAAGCCATTTTTTTCTTCTACTGAATACATATTTGCAATACAAGTGATGGCAAGTCTTTGCTGAAGATGATGAAAGGGTTCTCTGAATAACAACTGTCACCAGTCAAAGATCCCGCAGTAAGAATAAAAGAAGTAGTCTAGGAATAACAAATGTCTTCCCAGAACAAACAAGGAGAAACAGGAAGAAGTAAAGGACAGTGAAAACTGGAGGCATGTATAATAGTTTCTCCTTTTCCTTAAGTCTTGAGTAAGATGTTTGGAAAACCTCAGATTTACAAGGCTCACTGAAGGCACTATGTTTCCTTTAAAAAAAAAAAGAAGTTTCATTGAAGTGATACCCTTCATCTTGACCCTGTAGTCATTTCCCATCTCTTCCTTTCAATATTGGACCTTCTCTTGAGACAAAGAAAAATAATTAACCAAAAATATCCAATAAAGACCATAGCTGACAATACATACAATGTCTTATAATAGTAATCACTTAATTCTCTGCCATGAGGGAAGACATACATTTTAAAAACTCTTCTTCAGAACCTTCACTAGTTTTTCTATTATTCAGAGCTCAACCTACTCTTGGTAATTTACATTTACAACATTTACAATGTTGTAGTCAATGTGTATGATCATTTATCTCTTGGTTCCACTTATTTCACTCTGCATTTGTTCATACAAATCTTCCCATGTTTTTTCTGAATTCCTCAATTTGTCATTTGCCAATCAACAGGCACTATCTTTCTTTCTAATTCTTTGTTATGTCCTTCATAGCCATAAGGCATAAGACTCTAAAAGATGAGCTACTCTATTCAGTGTAATGAGAAAGGCACTGAAATCTAATCACTGAATAACTTCTAATATCTCAAATACATAGGTATGTCTTTGTTTAAGCAAACACCCTAAAAGTTCACCTCTCCAGAACGTTTGATTTCTACAATTATGTGCCTCAATCAACACTACAATAATACATTTCTATTCTTGTTCCCCATACTAAATAAAACATTTACCCTTACCTTTGACCTATATCCTTGCCACGTGTTCACGTCTTATAGGCCCTTTATATACATATTCATATCACATTATCTTTCTTAGGCTGCAAAACCTGGAAGGTACATTAATTATATCTCTCCTAAAGTAACATGTCAATTTAAGAAGGGAAGGGAATAAACATTTATTAAGTGCCTACTATGTGTCAGGCACTGTGCTAATTGCTTTACAAATATATCATTTGATGTTCACAAAAACCCTAAGACATAGGTGCTCTTATGACCCCCATTTTATAACTAGGAAACTGAGGCAGGCAGAGGTTAAGAGAGTTGCTCAACATCACATAGCTAGCAAATCCATGTCCTCACTGAGTGTACAATCAAAAAGTCAGGAAGTAAATGGGGTTATATCTACTGGCAACACCTGTGTTTTCCCTCTTGCAATTTCCTAAATCAGAAATTCTAAGCACACCCAAGCCTTCTTCATCAATGAAAAAATGAAAATGGAAGTAAAATGGACAGGAAAAAAACTGAAACAAGGGACTCAAGTCTAATCTAACAATTATTGACTACATACTCGTGACATCAGCCAGGGCCAGGCATCATTATTTGTTTTCTGGACAACCTCTTCATACTTCAGTTGGTCTAAGCAACATAATGGAGGGAGCACTACATTTGTAGTCAAAAGGTGTGCATTCAAATTGGAATACCACTATTCACTCTAGAGCAGAAGTTTAAATAGAAAGGGGGAAAATAAAGGACCCTGTCCAGGACAGTTTGGCCTCATGAAGTTATCCAAAATACCTTCCTGTAAGGATCACCTATAAGGCTGTTCCAATTCATCAAATATTTAATAGAGTTTATTGTGTCTGGGGCCTAGAAGAAAATAGTAAGTTTAGAAATGACATGAAATAGAGAATCAAAAATCTAGAACTGTAAAGGACCTTCAAGGTTATTTAGTTCAACTTTCTCATTTTATAAATGAAGAAACTGAGGCCCAGAAAGATGAAGTGACCTTCCAAAGGTCACAGAGGTGGCAAGTGAAAGATGCAGGATCTTAACCCTGGACCTAAGGTCTCTCTCTCCTGAACCATATGGCCTCCTGTGGTCCCTCTCACAGCTTCCATGAGAGGAGGTCACAGAACAGGCACTCTGAGTTCAACATTAGAATGAGGCTTAAGTGTTCTCTCACAAGATGTTAAAAGTAAAACACAATCAGAAAGTTCTCTCTTAATAACATTCAATCAACAAGTATTAATTATAAACCTACTTTGTACCAGGCAATGTGCTGGAGCCTGGAGATAAAAAGACAAAGGCAGGCTGTGGGGGTACCAGGAAAGGCCTCATGCAGAAGGACTTCAGCTGAGTCTTGAAGGACTCCAGAGTTCCCAGGGGAGGAGTGAGTGCATTCCAGGTAGGGGGACAGTAGGAGCAAACTGTGTCCAGGCAGGATGGGGCCATTTGTATAAGAAGCAACAACAAGGCTAGTTTGGCTAGACCATAGGATGTGTGGGAGGGAGTCCTGTATATCCTACTGTATCATATTCCTCCAACTCTCCTCTACCTGAATGGTCATATTCTCAAACTGGATGGTGAAGAATAGCCAAAGAACAATAGCAGACAGTGCAGAAAAGGTGAAATGAAAATGCCAAGGAGTTTTGGCATGAGAATGGGACTAGCTCAAATAAGTAATCATCAAGACCTCCACTATCCCAATCCTGTGCCAGATAGTCAAGAAGACAAATTTTATCTTCCCAGAGGTTTTAAGACATATTCTCTCTCTCATTCTAGATGAGGAGAATCTTAAGCATCTTGGACCACAAAATTCTGAGGACAGAAATCCCATCTTAGAAAAAGGCCTTATGAAATAAAATGTAAGTCAAGATAACAGCTGTGAAAGGAGACAGTTAAATAAGCACTGTAACAAGTCATTTGATTTGTGTTCTCTAAAGGTTTTATTATTGCTTAACCTTTGCCAAAACAAAGAGAAAAGAAGCAAGGCCTCTAGTTTCATTATAGTCATATTCACAGCAATCCCAACAGGAGTTTGAATAAAATGAATAAAGAAACCACAAATGAAATGCCTGTGTGCCCTGGGAGTAATTGCTCAGTTTAAATGTTTCAAAGGCAGTTTGCCAAATGAAAAAATATATTGTGGGTCTAAAGATTTAAACCAACAAATTACTATTATTACTGGCTTCCCCCCCCCACTTTTCTATCCTTTCCACCCAGTTTATGTTTGAATTACTCTATCTAAATTAGACATTGGTTTCCCCATTGAATTGTAAACACAATGTCTGACAAGACAATGCAAGAGTAAGCCTCTATGACTGAATATAGTGGTTACTCTCAATGAAAGTCTTTCTTGGAACTCTGCAATGGAATAAGACATCTGAAAAAGGGCCATTCTCATACAATCAAGATTTTTATTTAATTCTTAATAGCCTGAAAGAGCCATTCTGCCATCGGATCCCCAGTTGGAAGATATCCCATAAAAATGTCCTTCATAATGGATGACACCCTCATGTCCACTCTCTCACACTCTGAGGAGGAAACTTTAAGGCCTCTTGTTAAAGTCCAGCTTATAAGAGCCAATATATACTAGTCAGCCTGGTAAAACAGTCATGAATAAGCTTTGTGGGCTTACTCCTCACTACTGAAAATGATACCAAATTGCTGCCACTTATCATGGTATATTTCATTAGTCCCATGACTGTACATGTACCCAGCAAAATGTTACACAGTTCCTTACATGATTTATGGCACCCCAAATTATATCCTTTTGTTGGCACTAATCCTCTTAGATAAGGTGATGCAGATCAATAGGGCCCTAAAGTCTAGGAATGCAATGAAAGACTTCACCTGCTTCAATTCCAGAGCCTCTACTCCATACACATTGCTACATGAAAACAGTTTTAGCCAGAGCACGAGCCATGATGAAAAGAGGACTTTATTTTACATAGCTCTGCAGATGACTTCCACCATGGCCCCCAGTAGGGTGAACCACCATTTGGAGCTTTCAGAGACTTTCACGATAAAGGAGAAACTGACGGCTAGAGTCACAGAATTCTCATAATCTCCACCAAAAGAATCAAAATTAACTGCAAATTCTGGGGGATTTAAAGAAAAACTTACAATCAGAAGAGAATAGAAGCTGTCTTCTTAGAAAATAGATAAGATAAAAATACTACCACTTAACTGAATTCTGTACTTACTGCCACTTATTATCATTTGATATTTAGTATTCCTAAAGCACTTTTCATTTGCAATGTTGCCCAATTATTTCTTTATCAACAATAAGAAGTTTTTATTTCATTTGGCAGCTTTTTAGGATGTTTAAACAGAATCATTTGCCGTGGCTTGGCAATAAGTATAATTGATGACCTGTCTGAGCTATAATGTGATCTACACTAGAAAAAGGCATCAGTGTAACAATTG